GCGCCACTATTCCTTAAATCTTGGTTGGCAGTAGTGGCGTCACAAAAGAAATGTACCAAAAGTATGCACCGCGCATGCGTGAAGTTCACGACCATAGTCACGGTACAGAATAACCATTCATAATTATATTACGCGACTCCTGTTGATTGACAAAATGTTTGCAACTAAAAAATTAGAGGACCGTTCGTTCATCACTTGGAAAACGATCGTATTTTATTAAGAATTCTAAAACAATAAAACAGCAACAAGTTATTGTATTTTTAAAAACAATTATATTATAAACGGTTTTAAATTGATAAAATCTGTATATCGTAAAGTACTGATGAATGGAGTACACCAGCGACATCTATTGAATTTTTTGTTGAAACTTCTGAACTCGTTCGATATAATGCGAATGTATTTTTATAAATGCGTATTTAACAAATATGTTTCAAGTGTTTTAATTAAAGCTTAACATTTTTACGCGTTGTCGGTTTATAGAAATTTTAAACGAGGAGTTGACTTTATTATTATAAAAGTTAAAAGGAAGTTATTGAAACTTCAAGATGGCGCCATTTACAACGTTTCAAATTATATGAATGAATGTTTTTTAGTATGAAATATTGGTTTAAGACGATGATGCAATTTCATTTGACTTACTAAATTAACCTTTGTTTTTTTTAAATTAAACGCTGCATTACCTTAATTTTTAAGCTACATTTTTTTATAATAAACACTCAATTGACTATTGGTAATGACTTCAATTCGTTTCCAATGTTTTCGGCCATATTGTTTTCATGTGATGTGCGATCGCTTTGTTTATGTTTTCGTTTAAATTATTAGGAATTAGTTTTAAACATAAAGTTGCATAAATGTGTAGTAGTAGTTAAATATATGTGTAGGTTTTTCAAATAGTGTATTTGTTTATCAGTTTCTAGTACAAGTACCTATATTATTCGATTGTGAAGTGTGTGTGAATAATAGGTAATTTTATGTGTTTGTTGAAAGTAAAAACAGTAAGATTTCGCAAGAAAATGTCCTTTATCGGACTAGATTCAGGTAAAGACCATAGGCAGAGGTGTACTCGAGTTACGAGAATTGACCCAAGTAAAAGGTAGGTAATGTAAATATGTACTATAATGGATCTTTTATTTGACTTTCTTGTTTATTGTTTGATAATTCTTAAAAATATCAACTTAGACTTCGGGTTGTACTGATTCACATATTAATTTATTATTAATAATTATGTAATGTAGTAATAACATATGTACCGCATAGACTCGGCCGGCTCGGCCACAGCCGGCCGCGCTTGTTATTGTTTTGTTTGTTGACATAATGTAGGTACCTACGCTCTTAAATTCGTAATATATTATGATTTTGAACAGATTGATTAAACTAAACAATTCCATAATGAAATTTGGTTCATCAAATTTATGCCTTATTATTAAAATAAATAATAGATCCTTCATTATTTGTAAGTTTTGTTGGCTTATTCAATAGCTGATGAAGTACTTCACAAAAAATACGCGAGTTGTCAGTGTATGTAATTTGGCGAAAGAATACACCACAATATTCTTGAACGCACTTTTCGAAATGTATTATGTACATGTACCTATCTTGTGTGAGCATGATTGTATGACCGGCGGGGGGAGAGGGGTTTAATCATACGATATTTAGTTGCCTACCCTGTCTCGAAAACCTGTGCACGCCACTGGTATATAAATGTGTACGTCAAAAATCAAAGCACATTTCACGGCGCGTTTTGCGCCCGCGGCAGTTGCGATTGTTTACGGCTACCGCTGCACCAGCGGGCGCGGTGAGTTGCACCCGCGCGCTCTGCGATCGGTTGGCCGCCGCGCCGATCGCAATGGGAGAGCCGGTCTAGAACACAACTGTTTGTTTAACCGCCCGCCCGTCTTACGTTTGTGGGCGAATATCGCAACCGCAGAAAACTGCGGTCTCGTCAGTTTTGACGATATGCGTATATTAAATTTAACAACGACTAGGTAAACAGTTCTTGTTGCTAGTTATATTTTCTGAATCGCGTGCTAACACACCAAGTCATGAATACTTTATCAGTAATTCAGGCTATGATTATTCATAGCCTTTACCTTTTAGTGCGAGTTGTCAATATGATTTAGAAGTGACAGCAAAATGTAGCCAAGAACTTCGATATCACATCTGAAAGAACAACGGCATTCATTTCCCCTGGAATACTGACATAAAGCATATATTATACTTAATTAAGACCTAGAGTTGTAGCAAAAAAGGTAAAAAAAAAAGTAGGTATATTATTAACTAA